CTCCTTACTCAGCGGGGAGTCTGCTTCTCCCTCTGCCTGCCGCTCCCCTTGATTGTACTCTCACGTGCTAACAAATAAATAAATACAATCTAAAAAAAAATTTACTGCATCATTTCCAACATGTTTATTTTCCATTTCTTACATAGTCATGTTCCCTTTCAATCCTCAAGTATATTTATATTTCAACAGGTGTTATATATTTTTTTAAAGATTTTATTTATTTATTTGACAGAGACAGAGATAGCGAGAGCAGGAACACAAGCAGCAGGAGTGGGAGAGGGAGAAGCAGGCTTCCCCCTGAGGAGGGAGCCCGATGTGGGACTAGATCCCAAGACCCTGGGATCATGACCTGAGCTGAAGGCAGATGCCCAACAACTGAGCCACCCAGGTGCCCTTCAACAGGTGTTTTAAAGTCTACCATATTTATACTTTTTTGGTCTGTTTCCATTATCTGATTATTTTTCTTGGCTATGAATCACATTTTCCTATATCTTCACATCTTAATATTTGATCGGATGCTGGACATAGTAAATTTACACCACTGAACGCTAGATTTTGTTATATTCCTTTAAAGGATGCTGGACTTCATTTTGGCAAGCAGTTAAGATACTTGAAGATCAAATTAATTCTTTCAAGGCTTGTTTTCAGCTTTGTTATGGTAGGTTTATGGTACCCTTTACTCTAGGGCTAATTATCCCCACTACTAAGACTTGCCCCCAACTCCCCATGTCTCCACTGATTGCTTAGGGTGTTTAACCAGAATTCTCCACTCTGATCTGCCAGAACTCACATATTCCAGTCCCGTGTGGCCTGGGAACCCCTCAGCTTATTAGTTTCCCAGTTGTTCTTTTCCTGGCCTTGTGGAGTTTCACTCTCTCTATATATATACACAGCTTAGTATCCAGTTAAAAACTGATGGGGACTTCCTATTCCTTTTTTTTTAACAGGAGAAAATGCAATTTAATAGGCATTAGTATGGGGAATCCACACAGACAGAAAATTCCAAAGACGATGAGGCAACAAGAAGCTTCTATGAGCTAAGGAAAAAGGTAGGGGCCTGAGGACACAAAGGGAAGAAAACTCATTAGCAAGAAGGTGAAAGGAGAGGTTTGGAAAAACAAGATTGTTCTATTATGCAGATGAGCTCCTTTGGTAAAGGGGGCCTCTATTAATACTTCTTTTCCTGTTGCAGACTCTTCTCTCCAGTGTAAATTTAGGCAGTTATGGGGGAGGCAGAGCACCTTTCCTGCATCTGCTGGGTTTTTATTACTTTTAACTTGAAACAATCTTTATGCCAAAGTGGCACATTTTGCGGTGTCTCATCCTGTACCCCTTTAGTTCCCCCATCCGGAACTTCCCGGGAGGTTCCCCATATTAAAAGTTGAGCTGGTAAATAGCTGGTATCATTGAGGCAGGCTTAGTCCTGACAATAGGTTCATTTAGTTAAACTCATTTTAAGAGATGATAATGCAGATGTATTTTCAAAGTTGGGCCTCTGGTTCAGGAAATCAGGTATTCAACAAGAGGCATTTCTATGGAAACAAAAGAAAAACAATGGTTAATGATTAGGTCATAAGTCAGCCATTGAGTCCTGAGGATAGCTGGTGGAGATTTCTAGCTGTCAAGTTGAAACTTCCTCAGATACAGGGAGAGCAGCAGTGGCAGCCGGACAGATTTCTCTGGTTTGCAGTTCACATGTCTCGATATCGCTCCATGTCCCACACAGCAGCATGCATGAAGATCGCCACACACGAGTGGTTGTGGTGATTTCTCTTAAGTTTACATCCAGTTCCTGTAGTTTGCAAGGCTTCAGGAAAAAGGGCAGCTTTCGTTCTCAAATGAGACCAACTCAGAGGTGGGAGAAAAATAAAAAATGTTACTTGGAGAGTTGCAGTCAGGCACTAGAAGAAATCAGGATCTAGTCCAGTTTATAATAAACAGTATTAGGGGGCACCTGGGTGGCTCAGTAGGTTAAGCAACCAACTCTTGATTTCAGCTCAGGTCATGATCTCGAGATCGAGCCCCTCATCAGGCCCCGCGCTCAGCACAGTCTTGTCCTTCTCCCTCCGCTGCTCTCTCTTAAATAAATAAATAAATAAATAAAAATCTTTTTAAAAAACTTAGAATCTAATATTTACTCGGGTATGTTATTGAAACATTTTTTTTCTCTATAATCACCCTCAGTTTTACCAGAGATAGCCAAATTCACATTTGTTTGTAAACAAGTCTAGTTTTAACAACTTGGCCTAATAATTATTTACGGAAGCTCGGCAGGAATACTGATTGGCCATGTAGGTTCTTTTAAATCTGCTTTGCTGGAATTTTTCATAAGGAATTTCTAGATTGAACTTTAAATAGTGAGGCCAGAAGCCAAGCCAAAACGTGCACCAAATGCTTGCCAGACCTTGCCTGCAACACCTATAGATTTGGGCGAATTCCTCTCTGAGGAGGGGGCCTCCCTACTTCTGTTGCTCTTTCTTGTCAGTAACTCCGTCCTCTGTACTACAGTGCCCTGAAACTTCTAGTTGCCTCAGCCTTCCTGAGCATTCATCTCTTTCTCCTCAACTCCATGAACCACCAAACTCTTCTTGGGATCCCCTCCCTACATCATATTTTGCTACTGTCTCCCAGCAGGAAGCCAAGGCCATCAAAGGGCCTTTGTTCTCAATGGTCTTTTCGTTCTCAGCTTTACAATCCCGCATGGCCTTTGCTCACTGTATGAAAACTGTTAGCCTTGTATAGTGTATCTACGATAGCTAGTTGTTTACGGTAGGTAGGGAAGTTTGGTCCTGGTTACTCCATCACGGTTGGAAATGGAATGGTGTGATTTTATTACTCTTGCTTGGGATTCTTAGAGCTTCTTGACTCCATGGCTTGATCGCTTTCATTGACTTTTGTAAATTTAACCACTGTTTCATAAATATTCCTGCTCTAGTTATATGTGCTTTACCTTTTGGCTGTTTCCCAAATGCCTCTCACAATTTGCTTGCAGTTGTTTGTCCTTTTTCCCTCTCTTTGGGACAAGTCTATGGTCCTCAAAGGCACTAATCCTGTCTTCTGCTGTGTCTAATCTGCTGTTAAACCCATACACAATGACTTCTTGGTTACTGTGGGTTTTTTTTCAGTTGTAGCATACATGTTTTATCCATTTTTAAAGATTACAACAATTTAAATCCTCTTTCACCCATTTTGTCTTTTCCTTTATTTCTGTTATATTAATGGTTAAAGTGCTTTTTGCTGAGTCCAATATCAAACTCATTTGGATTTTCTGTGTTAGTTCTCTATTGCTGCTGAAACAAATTACCACAAATGGTGGCTTAGAACAGCACCCATTTATCAATTCATAGTTCTGTAGGTCAGAAATCCTGGTGGGCTTAGCTACTTTCTGTCTCAGAAAGTGGGAATCAAGGTATAGGCTGGGCTGGGATCAAGGTATAGGCTGGGTACAGGCTGTGGGGAAGGACCTACTTCTAAGTTCATTCAGGTTGTTGGCCAAATTCAGGTCCTTATGGCTGCTGGACTGAGGCCCTCATTTTCTGGCCGGCTGTCAGTCAGGGGCCACTCTCAGATCCTAGACGATGCTCGAAGATCCTTCCCCATGTCAGCAACAGAGAATCTCTCGTGTTGAACCCCTTCCATAGCTTCAAATCTCTGACTTCCTCTTTGGCCACCCAGCTGGAGGAACTGCCTTTAAAAAGCTCCTATGAAAAGATGAGGCCCACTCAGATCATGTCCTTTTGGCCAAAGAATGTAACATAACCAAAGAAATGGTATCTCATCATATTCATAGGTTTTACCCACAAAGGGTGTGGGGGGAGTAGATTATAAAAGAGAGTCCATGGGGGTCATTCTTAGAAGCATGCCTACTACAGTTGTTCATTTTGTTTTAACAACTACATCTTTCTGCCTGTTCTCATGTCTAGTAATCTGTATCAGACACTGTATATTAAAAAACTGTATAGTTTGCCTTTTCCTCTATTCAGCAGATCAAGTCTGGGACTGAGCACCTCAAACCAATCAGGGTTGTATTGCAGTGTTAAGATAACCTAGCTCTCTTTGGCGCTGTTCCTCAGGCTATCCCTTCTGCACTTTTGTTTGAGAGCCTGTTGGGTCTCTGTCTCCCCAGACCAGAGACTGCTTGAGATTTAGTTTCCCCCTTCATAGATACTGAGCTGAGCTCCTGCAGGCCTTTGGTTCAACCTGGACTGTTTCCAAAGCATGTGACACCACACAAGGGCTCACTTTGCCTTTCTGGCCCAGCCCACTAACCCCCCTACACCATCACAAACTCAGCAAACATCCTATGGACAAAACTAGTCATGCTCCTGGAGCTCTTTTCATTTCTAAGTCAGCCCTATATAACCTCTAAAAGCTCTTCTAGATCTCTTTCCCCTTGTGAAGTCTGGCAGCCTGGGCCAAGCCCATCCTCAGCTCACACCCAGAATCAGCAAATACCTCCAGATAATGGACAGCAATTGTCTGGTCACCTAGAAAAGGCACTTTACTCTCTAGAATTTTAATTCATCTAGTCCTCATTGTTTCCACAGCTCTGCAACAGCTCCCAAATATTTTTTTTTCCATTTATCCCGTTCCCCCCCACCTAGTTGTTGCATGATTGCTGGCCTGGCAAGACCAACTACAATGTCCATGGAAATGCAAGTCTGCTTATTACTTTCTATTAAACATTTAAATCCAAGACAAAAGTGAGACAGTAGTAAGTAACCACATACGATGTTCCCACCTTTCTTCCACTGGGTGAGGTCTGGAAGGATGAAGGAAGGGCCTTGTGGAAGAGCACACAAATGGGCTTCACAAAGGAGCCACGGACTGTGACTCAGAGTAAGTGGCTAATGCTTGCTATATGGCTTACTAGCTCTGTGTCTTAAACACACTCCTTATGATTGTTTCCTCAAGCTGTGAAACATCAGGATACGTGTTTGCTTGGGGGGCGTGGGACTGTCATTATCCTTGCTTATGAGTGTTACTGAGAAGCAGAAAAATCCATTAATGTACTATTTTTATGAAACAAAAAAGCCTTTACTTATGTAAAGAAAGTTTAAATTATGTTTTGAACACCTTCCCCGTGAGTAATATTTAGAGAGTCCTTGCTGTAGAGAAACAAAGTCTGAGCCTGGATAAGTGATTTTTCTGAAGGTTGTGAATTCTTGGCCACTTCGATCCTCTGTGCTTCCTTGTCTACTAACACAGCTTGCCACAGAGGCTGGTCTTGGCTTTCCTTGTGGTTGTCTATCCGGTCTCCAACTTGCCTGAATTCTAGGGAAACAAATGCAATGAATCATCATTTCTGCTATATATCGTGTTATGGGATAACATTAATTGATAAAAGCCCTGCTGAGAACCCCTGTCACTGGGACTTGGGCTGATGCGGATGGGCTCTCCCTGTGCTCCACCACTGCCACCTCCTCCAACTGCAAATACAGAGAAATGCTGGCTGATATTTAACAAAAATAATTAACACTCAGTCAAGCTGAAGATCAATGAAGAACATGATGTGACAAAAATGAAGAGGAGATTTAAAGTTGGGGTGAACAGAAACTGATGCTGTATGGCTCTGCAGTTGGGGGTTAAGGCTCTAACTCATGAGCGGAGTGGATTCTAGGCCACAGGACACAAATGTGCAAAGAACTAGAACTGAGCTACCTCCTAAAAGCTGAAGTCATAAAGGACATTGCAGCTTTAAAAATGGGAACTAGAAAGAGGTCACCCCCTGGGTGATGAAAACAGAAGAATCGGGAGTTATTTACAACAAATTAGAACTCTAGTCCTGTACCACAGGTAGGCATGCATGCCAAATGGACAACTGAAGTAGAATACAAAACCTAGGAGTTGAAAAATCCCCCTAAACAATTGGTCCTGCATTAGTGAAACCTCTGGGCCCCACTTAAAGGAGTTCACAGTAGGGGCGCCTGGGTGGCTCAGTCGGTTAAGTGTCAGACTCGATCTTGGCTCAGGTCATGATCTCAGGGTCATGAGATCGAGCCCTGCGTTGGGCTCTATGCCAAGCATGGAGCCTGCTTCAGATTCTCCCTCTCCCTCTGCCCCTCCCCACCCCTGCTTGTGCATGTGCTCTCTCTAAAGTAAATAAATGAATGAATAAATGAAATAAATAAATAAATAAAAGGAGCTCACAGTAAAAAAATTAAAAACCTTAAAAGGAAATGAGCCATGAGTTGAAACTTCAGTCCACAGAAAAACTTGCACGTGGAAATGACAGCTTCATAGCGGCTTTATTCACAATGTCCCAAACTGGAAGCAGCCTAGAAGCCCTTCAGTAGCTGAAAGGATGAATGAACTGGTACATCCATACAAGGAATATTGCTCGGCAATAAAAAGAAATGAGCTACCAAACTACAGAAAGACATTGAGAAACCTTAAATGCATATGGCTAATGGAAAGAATGGTTAAACTGTGGCAGATCCATTTAGTGAATACTACTCAGTGACAAAAAGGAAGAAACTACTAATACAAAAACTAGATGAATCTCCAGAGAATTATGCTAAGTGAAAAGAATCAATCCCATAAGACTACATACTATATGACTCCATTTGTATAATATTCTGGAAAGGACAAAATTATAAAAATGGAGAACAAATCAGTACTTGCCAAGGTTTAAGGAAGGGTAAGGGTAGGGGTGGGAAGAAATGGATATGGCTATAAAATTCCTTATGGTGATGGAAATGTTCTGTATCTTACCTGCATTCATGTCAATATCCTGGTTCTATTTTGTATTATAGTTTTGCAAGATGTCACCACTGGGGGATACTGCAAAAGGGTACAGGAAATCTCTGTATTATTTCCTTATCAGTGCATGTGAATCTAGTTATCTCAAAATAGAAGTCTAACTTAAAAAAATAACCAAATATTCCAAGGAGAGGAAAGGGGAAGCAAGACAGTAACAATCAAAAAAGAGAGGACAAAAAGAAAAGTAATAAAATTACAGAGTTAAATCCAACAATATACATAATCACATGAAATATAAGACTAAGAAAAAACACAATCATATTAATTAATCCATAAAAGCATTTGTAACATTCAATACCCAGTCATGATAAAAACTCTCACAAAACCAGGATTAGAAGGAAATATCCTCAACCTCTACCAGGCATCTATGAAAAACCCTACAAGGTAAATTATACCTAATGGTGAAAGAATGAATGCTTCTGGCCTAAGATCAGGAACAAGGGAAGGATGTTGCTCTCCCTATACCTAGCCAACATTATACTGAAGGTCTTAGCCAGTACAATAAGGCAAGAAAATGAAATAAAAGTATCCAGATTGGAAAGGAAGAAATAAAATAGTCTTTTACACAACTACAGGATTGTTCATGTAGACAATGCCAAATTATCGTCAAAAAAGCTACTAGCACTGATATGTGAGCTGAGGAAGGTCCCAGGATACAAAGTCAATATAGGAAAATCAATAAAACTTCTATAAACTAGCAATGACCAATGGAAAAATGAAATGCAAAAAAATGAACACACACAACACAAACCCCACCATTCTTGTTGTAAGAATACACAACAGGAATAACTTAAAATATGTGTAAGACCTGTCCGTTCAAAACTATAAAATATTACTGGGGCACCTGGGTGGCTCAGTTGTTAAGCGTCTGCCTTCGGCTCGGGTCGTGGTCCCAGGATCCTGGGATCGAGCCCCACGTCCAGCTCCCTGCTCCGCAGGAAGCCTGCTTCTCCCTCTCCCACTCCCCCTGCTTGTGTTCCCTCTCTCGCTGTCTCTCTCTCTCTGTCAAATAAATAAATAAAATCTTAAAAAAAAACTATATTACTGAAATAAATTCTAAAATACCTAAATAAATGGAGAGCTATACTGTGTTGATAAATTAGAAGACTCAATATAGTTGGCACAACCACAGATTTAATGCAATCTCCAACAAAATCCCCTGCAGGCTTTTTCTCATAGAAATTGACAACCTGATTCTAAAATTTATGTGAAAATAGCGAGGACCTAGAGTTGCCGAAATAATTATGAAAAGAACCAACAAATTTGGAAGACTCACACTACCTGATTTGAGCACTCAATATAAGGCTATAGTAATTAAGGCAGTGTGGTATAGACATATAGACTGATGCATATATATTCAACTAATTTTTGAGAAGGGTGCTAGGGAAATTAATTGAGAAAGAAGTCTTTTCGAAAATGTTACTGAAACAATCAAGGACTTTCCAACATGGTGGAGGAGTAGGAGACCTTAGTTTTGTCTGGTTCTAGGAATTCAGCTAGACAGTTATCAAATCATTTTGAACACCTGTGAACTCAACCAGAGATCTAAGAAAAGAATTGCTGCAATTCTACAAATAGAAAAGCGACCACTTTCTGCAAGGTAGGAGGTACAGAGACGTGAATACAAGGTGATATATCAGAAGATAAACCGCAGGGACAGGGAGCCTCCATAAGCCAGCTATGATACAGCAGCAAAGCACAAAATCAGAACTTGGACAAGTCTGCTCTGCTGAGGGACATCCCTGTCTGAAAGGTGCTCAGGTGGTGAAACGGAGTGGAATCCTAGGTGGGACAGTGTGGTCTCAGGATCCCTGGGTTACAGAAAGAACGGGGGTGCCTGAGTGCGGCAGAGTTCCCAGGCACTGGAGCAGGAAAGCTGGCTGCAAGCAGGGGCCCAGCAAGCAGCAGAATCACGGTGAGACCTCCCCCTTTCCCCGCCAGGAGGAGCCGGTGTGGGCTGCAGGAGTCTGCAGGGCTTGGAGACTAGAAGCAGGCTCGCATGCTTGAGATAGAAACATTGGGTCACAGGCCAGGCGAGCATGGAGTGTGGACAGAGACCAGGTAGACAGGAGTGATTGACTGCTTTTTCCCTGAGAGCTCACTGAGGAGTGGGGGGTGCAAACTTTAGGCTACAAGGCTGGCGATTGGGAGGCCGCCATTTTCATTCTCATCCTCTAAAGCGGAGCAGAGCATAAAGGCAAGGAGCCTTCAGGGAACAAAAGTCACAGAGAGCAATCTGGAGCCCCTTACTTAGCCCAGCCCCCTTGCAAGGGCGGTGCAATTCCGCCTGGGGCAAAGACACCTGAGAATCAGCACAGCAGGCCCCTTCCCGAGAAGATCAGCAAGAACATCTGGCTAAGACCAAGTTTATTCATCACACAGAACTGCAGAACTCCAGCGCTAGGGGAAAATAGTATATAGAATTCATGGGTTTTTTTCTCATGATTATTTAGTCTTTCAATTTTAATTTTTTTTTTCTTTCCCTTTCAACCAATTTCTCACTTTATCAATTATTTTTTGTCTTTTTTAATTTTCATTTTTATAGTTATATTCTATCATTTCATTGCATTTAATTCTATTTTTGTATATATAAGTTTTTCTTTCTTTACAATTTTGGGATGCAGTTTCTTATAACAAAAAGACCAAAATACAACCAGGACATAGTGTATTGCTCTGTTTTGTTCACCTGTTTATATTCTTTTTTTTGTCTTTTAAGTTTAATTTTTACAATTACATTCTATCCTTTCATTGTATTTAATTTTATTTTTGTACATATATAAGTTTTTCTTTCTTTACAATTTTGGGATCTAGTTTTCTAACAAACAGACCAAAACACACACAGGATCCAGTGTATTGCTCTGTTCTGTTCACTTTCTGATTATATTCTCTTTTTTTAATTCTTTTTTGGTATCAGGTCTCTTCTGATTTGCTTATTAGTGTATATTTCTCTGGGGTCGTTGTTGCCATTTTAGTATTTTGCTCTCTCGCTCATCTATTCTTTGGACATACTGACAAGAAAGGTGGAAAAACTCACCTCAAAAAAGAGAACAGGAGGGGCGCCTGGGTGGCTCAGTTGGTTAAGCGACTGCCTTCAGCTCAGGTCATGATCCTGGAGTCCCGGGATCGAGTCCCGCGTCGGCTCCCTGCTCAGCGGGGAGTCTGCTTCTCTGAGCTCTGACCCTCCCCCCTCTCATGCTCTCTCTCTCTCTCTCTCATTCTCTCTCTCAAATAAATAAAATCTTAAAAAAAAAAAAAAAGAACAGGAGGCAGTACTGACTGCCAAGGACGTAATCAATATGGACATTAGTAAGATGTCGGAACTAGAGTTCAGAGTAACGATTATAAAGATACTAGCTGGGCTTGAAAAAAGCATAGAAGATACTAGAGAATCCCTTCCTGGAGAAATAAAAGAACTGAAATCTCACCAAGTCAAAATCAAAAAGGCTATTAATGAGATGCAATCAAAAATGGAGGCTCCAACTGCTAGGATAAATGAGGCAGAAGAGAGAATCAGTGATATAGAAGACAAAATGATGGAGAATAAAGAAGCTGGGAAAAAGAGAGATAAACAACTACTGGATCATGAGGGGAGAATTCAAGAGAGAAGTGATACCATAAAGCAAAACAATATTAGAATAATTGGGATCCCAGAAGAAGAGGAAAGAGAGAGAGAGGCAAAGAAGGTATACTGAGCAAATTATACTTGTGAACTTCCCTAATTTGGGAAGGAAACAGGCATTCAAGTCCAGGAGGCACAGAAAACCCCCCTCAAAATCAATAAAAATAGGTCAACACCTTGACATGTAACAGTGAAACATGCAAATCTCACAGACAGAGAAAATCCTGAAAGCAGCTCGGGAGAAGAGATATGTAACCTACAAGGGTAGAAAAATTAGACTG